GATGTTGCTCTTTTCTTCCGTCCACTTCCTTGACTTCGGGCTACGCTACCAGTATCACGGTAACGAGCGATGGTACGAGACACAAAAGATTTATTCACATTTAAATGCCGGAGTGTTCTAACGATAGTCACTTGTAGTTTTCCAGCCAAATATAAAGAAATCACTCTATCACGCTTGAATTCCATCACGAATAACTTTTTTTCTGGAAAATTCTCACCAAAATGCTTCTGTACGCTTGTAAACAATATAATGAGCTGTCGCTGAAATAATTTTAACAGCTCTTGGACGAGTGGCTTAGAAATGACAGCAGTCTGAAGTAGTTTGCAGTTTTTTATCTCGCCCTGTATTGTTCATCCGATTTGTTATATTTGTTCTCCACAGCAGTAATATGCACTTCTTAACAACGATATTCGAGGAAATATATCAACTACAGTTTTGAAATACCTTCGACAAATTTTATCAAGATCGGTTCAGATTTGATATATAAAGTCCTCGCCCGACTTTAAGACTTTCTTTACTGGTTGTCTTTATCGTCATACAATAACGATTTCCAGAATCAAACTGCTCCTTAAATACAATTTTTTTCATTCCATCTAAGTATACATCCAACCATGAATATTTTAAGTGTTTCCCAATTCCAAAAATTACAAGTCAATTTGACACAATAAGACTCTAGTAAAGATTTGCTTTTTTCCTACTTTCTTGCTTTTTTCCTACTTTAAACTACCTTTCTGGTTGTGGGATTGGGAACTTCAGAAGAACATTTCCCTTTTAATCTCTCTTTATGTCTACTTGTCATTTTACACCCTCAAAGAGAAATACCGCAGTCTTGAAAATCTTTCTCTCTTATACTCTCTCACTTTACATAATCTCATTCAGGCATTCGGTAAATCAAAAACGTGAAAGTGCAATAAAAGAAATCAGTGTTATCATTGATCGCACGACCATCTGTATTTATATACGCGAGGGCATTGAAATTATTTAACCTTGAATAATATTATTTATTATACACATTAATGAGGATAATTTTAATGTATAATTAATTCAGGAATTATGAAAGAATGATGGCAAATGTTGATTGTCGAATTTATTGCAAATGAATACGTTATCAATTGGCATTTATGAACGCATATAATAAATTAATTGAGATTATAAGATTTGAAAAACTTCTACAACGCATTTTGCAAAAAATCATGCCATGAGGAATTTGATTTTTTTACCAAGATCTATTGTATTAGCTTGGCTCCTTTGCTTTTTTCAATAATAAAATTAATAAAAGAGAAAAATAAGTATCCTTGGCTCTGAGAGAATTTTTTTATTTAGAAAGTAAAGGAACGGAATACAAAGAAAAACCTTAAAACAAGATGGCAATACTTCAAAATCAACATCCTAGACAATCATAAGGTGGTAATCATGTTACTACTTATTGCTCGGTAAAATTGGTCCAGGCATTTAGTATTATAAAAGAACGCCATTTTTGTTGCTGTTCCTTCAAGTTTGGCAGCATTACTACTTTCTCAAACAAGGAAAAGGGTTTCTAGTAAAGGTTGCCAAAATGGTGTGAGTTGCAGATATATGCACGTTAAGGAACAATATAATTGTTTTCTCTTATGCATGACAAATATTTGACAATGTTTATCGTAGCGTATACGCATTATTATTTATCCAAATTTTGTGGAGAAATATTCATCATACGCACAATAACACTTTCAATTGCATTTTTATATCAGAAATACAAAGAAATAATTGTGGGAATCTCTCAACATCCTGAGTTTTGTTTAAAATGATGAGAGGAGATGTTTTTTTAGAGGAAAATAAAATGAATAAAATGTTATATGTAATGATGTAATGATTAAAATCTGTGTTCGGTTATAAAGAAGTACCAGAAAATTGAAAACTAATTCGGTGATTTTTAATTTAATGTTTTATTCCTTACATTTCTTGGGAAGCACAACACATATAAACATTTTTTGTAGCAGGTTGCTGCTACGCACTTGTACCAAAAAGAACATATTTAGAACATATTAAACATATTTAGTCCGTCCATCTATCTATGCGGTTTATGCGTCGTATATCTGTCGAAAGGAGTTCCCAATTCGATCCAAACTTAGACTAATTGGTTTTTCAAATTATTGAAAATTCTAATATAGTTTCTTAAAATTATTTGAGATTTCTTTTATCAACTTTGGCATATACCAATTTAGTTATGTCCGTCCCTTTGTTGAATCTCGATAGAGCTCACACTGTTAAAACTAGAGCTTAGAAATTTACCACTGTAATTGATATAATACTTAGGATGTCTGATATTGAAAAATGGACGTTAGCACCCATTTAATGGTATCTGTAGGTTCCCTACACCACATAGTGGTAAGGATATTATGTCTCTGTGCATTTGTTCGTAACATGGAGAAGGAAGTGAGGTAGACACATAGTTCCTTTTGAGGATCTTCATAGAATCACGGCAGTCCGTCTTTCCAAATACTTTTGTGAACAAAACGCAGGTCTCATTTATTATCCGATTGAGATGAAATTTTCCAAAAAATATTTGTTTGGCCCAAGGACAAACCCCATTGAAATTGTTTAGAATCGGTTCAAATTTAGATATAGCTCCCACATATATCTTTAATCGATTTCCGGTTAATTATACACCGAATGGCCAATAACAGTTCAAATTAACTGAATTTTGGCACATCTGATCAAATTCAGTCTAGACGCAAGTACATCAAATTTTATGAAAATCGGTTCAGATATAGCTTTGGCTCCCATATATATGTTTCAGATGAATTAGGGTTGTAAGTCCCTCACATGCGTAATATGTACTACACAACGATGATCTTTGACTGGTTTTAAAGCGTTTTACACCCATTTTTCCATCAAAATCATCTGTATTTTGACATTTCAGATTCTCTATGGGTAGAATAAATCTATATATATATCCTCTCATAAATATTCGGTACAGATATAGGCCCCATGTAACAGGACTTCAAAATTTTAAGGATTTTCATTATACCCTCAGACATATGGCCCGAAATAACGGTTTTAGACCCTACGTCACTTTGGACCAAATCCGTTGGAGGACATTTGGAGTCGATCTATTGAAGTTCGTCTGGCTGGCTGGTGCGTACGATAACTCTTGAAGGGAGTATCCGATTTGGTTCAAACTTGGTACATCGTAATATTATTATCAAACTGTGATTGAGTTCGGAAGTGGGCAATATCGGTCCACTCTTTCTGGTGCCTCCGCCACAAAGGGTCAATATTTTGAATACAATATCACAATATACCTCACAATTTTTTTATTAACCCAAGGTCTAGTGAGAAGATGGGATATATCGCTTCACATCTTTTGATACCTCCAAAACGCGAAATGAACATCCGATTCCATTCAGTCTGGGTACATCTGAATATTTCAATCAACACAAGATCTGTTATAAAGATGGTATAGATCGGACTATTCCGATACCTCCCCCATAAAAGGCTCAAAGTTTTGAGTAACCAAAACGATTATAAAATCCGAAATAAGCATTTGAATCTTCATATTTCACACATCCCGTTAGATATATGGTAGATATATCTACAACCCTTAACGAACTACAAGAACTAATTTTTAGATAAATCCGTGGGAAAATGGCTATACCAAAATGTGGACCTATATTTACTATGTTCCGTCAAAGGAGCTAGAATCCTTACCGAACTACAAATAAAATTTTTTAGATAAATCCATGAAAAAATGTGGCAAAAATCATTAAAATACCGAATATCGGGAGGCATCGTTATATCGGGGCTATACCAAAACGTGGATCTATATATGCCACGTTCCGCAATCGAAGCTAAAACCCATTTCGAACTACAATTATCAATTCTTAGACAAATCCGTGAAAAAATGTGGCAAAAATCATCAAAATACCGAAATTCGGAAGGTACGTTATATGAGCTATGGCTAAATAAAAACGTGGACCTATACATACAATGTTTCGCCACAGGAGCTAGAACCCTTAACGAACTACAAGTACGGAATGTACGTTATATGAGCTATGGCTGACAAAAACGTGGACCTATCATACAATGTTTCGCCACAGGAGCGAAACTATAAGTACTATTTTTTAGATAAAACCGTGGAAAAATGTGGTTAAGACCATTAAAATACCAATTATCGGGAGGTACCCTTATATGGCGGCTATTCCAAAACGTTGACCCATTACCTCATTTTAAATATCAACCATCCTACTCGCAATACAAATTGTTCTGCCAAATTTTAAAGCTCTACGTCAAATAATGTGAGCTGTATCGTGATTTCAAAAGACAGGCGGACAGACGGACATCGTTAATTCGACTTAGATTTTATGCTGATCATTAATATATATACTTTATGGGGTCAATAACGTATATTTGGAGGTGTTACAAACGGAATGACAAAGTTAATAAAACCTTCTTTTCAAGATGGAGGGTATAACAATTAAAAGTAGCAATTTTTATGATTTTAACATTTTGACCAGAGAGCGGTATTTGACAAGTTCCATTCCTGAACAGAACAGAAATTAAGAAGTATATCATATCAATGTTTTTAGAATAAGCTCTAAAATCTGGTATTGTGGTCGAATTTCGGACCCATTAAGCTAATTGGACTGCTCTTCGATTCCCTATACATTATCCAAGTTTTCACGGATATTTGGTCTGAAATGCATTATGGTTCTCAGTTTCCAATACATTTATTTCACACAGCACTTTTAATATTCGAATAAAAAATATCTAACGATCTTGAACTAATTGCATTTCTAAACGGAAAATTGTCTGAAAAAAATTTCGAAATTTAAGAGTTTAGATTCTCAACATGTAACTTTTCTCTGATCATTTAAAAAAAATTGTGTACAATTTGAAAATTGGTAACAGCTTAATATTTAATTTGACACTTTTTTTATAATTGATGTTTTTACCGACGCATTTTTACCGATCAAATTATTTTAATATTTTACTGCTTATTATTTCAAACTCACACTTACCTAATTATTTTTTTTTTTAATTTTATTATTATTATTTTATTTTTTAACAATTTTAATTAGCTTTATAAAGTCTTTTTTAATTCATATATTTTGTTAATATTTCAAATTTCTGTTTTTATTTAATTTCACTTCAATTAATAACACTTTTCTGCTTCCGTCTTCACAATTTAGCCGTTTAATCCGTTAACAATAACGTTTCCAAATGACAGTTACAATTGACAGTATTTCGAATAGACGAATGATATCCTCGGCCATAGTCAAAGGGCTTTTATAGGCAACAGCAACAAGTTGCGTTGGTGACCACAATGCCAAACACCATCACCAATACAATGATGTGGTTAAGGAATTTGTTAGGCGACACACACCGACAAGTGAGAGGCAGTATAGTTCATGCTCTATGATATCCGTTTCCGAAAACAAAATAACAACAACAATGGCATAGCTCACACACAACACAGGTGCATAACACCAGCAAACGAACTTCACGGTCTATTATCCCGAACAACATGAATAACTTGGCTGGTCGGTAGCCGAACAAGTTCCACTGAGGATAAGTACTTGGCACGATGCGACGTAACCCTAAACGGGAATGTAAAACAACAACGACGAACAACGTCACAAACTTTTGCAGAGAACGAATATTTTTTGCTGTATTTTAGATGAGGACTTTTATTATTTGAAATTACTCTTTCCTCTGTTTATGTATGTGTGTACATGTGCGTGTGCATGTGTCTCTGTAATATGAATCACTCTTGCGGACACCTACGAAAAAATTAAGATTTCTTTAATTGCGAATAACGTATTGTAGTTGCGATTCCAAGAAATTAAAAAAATATATTATTCAAAATTGTTTGTTGTCTTTTCTTCAACAGTTGCCACGAAACTGATTAGCTTTCGATCAACTATTGGTCGCGTTATACGAATATGGTAATGACGAATAAGCTTGGCTTCGTGTGACATAAAAATCTTGGCGATAATCTCATCAATAATCACGGTTCTATGTTTAAAAAAGTTAATGTCATTTGTTCAAATATTTATGTCGTTGAACGTTTAAATGTTTGTTGAAAATTATGGACGGTGGGACTGGTTCATCAAATGTTTTGTGTAATTTATGGAAAGAGATTTTAAAAAATATAGGCAAATTTTAGTTTCCACAGTACCATATTTTGATGTTGCCCATATATAAATAAATTTACAATTTTGTTGCAGACCTACCAAATAACCGAGAAAAAACCGGTAAGAACCAGTAAAGAAAGTTCTTAAGTCGGGCGGGGCCGACTTTATGATACCCTACACCACTTTGCTAATTTAGTAGAGCTCCGCATTACAATTAAAAGTTTTTATGGGAGAATTCAATCATACACGCTATGATTATAATTATAATTTAAAGTTCAAAAGACTAAATATGCCGAAGCATTTATGTCTTTTAGATTCGGACTTGTATTACTCATTTGATATATATGGGAGCTATATCCAAATCTGAACCGATCTCGATAAAGATATTTCTGAGCAGTATTTGATATATTCCTCTGTGGGTAACAAATACAACAAATCGGATGAACAATATATATGGAAGCTATAGCTATATCTGACCCGATTTCGATAAAATTTAGCAAAGGTATTTCTGAGCTGTATTTGATATATTTCCCCAAATATTGTTGTTACAGAGTGCATATTACGACTGCGGAGGACAAAAATAACAAATCGGATGAACAATATATATGAGAGCTATAGCTATATCTGAACCGATTTCGATAAAATTTGGCATACTTATTTTCAGGCCTAATTTGGTTGTATGTGCAAAATTCCATACTATTCGTGCTGATATTACATGTTTGGTGCACAATAAAAGGCAAATCGGACGAAGATATATATGAGAGCACTATCTAATTTTTTACTGATTATCTCCAATTTCAATAGGGTTCGTCCTTGCGCCAAACAAATGTTGTCATCTCATCTCAATCGGATAATAAATGCAACCTGCATTTTGATCACAAGAATACATTGACAGATGGACTGACATGCATAAATCAACTCAGAGAGTGATTCTATGGAGATCCTCAAAAGTAACTATGAGTCTATCTCGCTTCCTACTACATGTTACAAACAAGTGCACAAAGACATAATACCCTTACCACTATGTGGTGTAGGGTATAAAAAGTCAATAGTCGGGCGGGCCTATTATATGATACCCTACACCACTATGAATATAAAATTGAGCTCCTGTGACAAAAAAAAAATTATTTGAAGTAGATCATACCACCTATCAACATTTGGCTTTAGAGCAGTTCACAGGGGACTAATATATGGGAGGCATGTCTAATTCGGTCGGATGTGTCAAAATTCAGATAATTTTCACTGATATTGGCCATTTGATGCACAATTAACCCGAAATCGGTTCAAGATATATATGGGAGCTATATGGACAGACGAACTGTCATGCATAAATCGACTCAGAATGTGATTCCATGAAGATCCTCAAAAATCTTGCTTCCTTCTCCATGTAACAAACAAATGTACATAATATCCTCACCTAGAGTAAACGCCCAGATGAAACGGTTGGCGTTAGAATCTTAAATAAACGCGTATTTTCAATTAATTGCCAGAAACCTCCTGAGAAAGAATCGTGGATCGTAGAACTAATATGTACACTGGAATTAGTCGATATCTGTCTTTGAATTTACCCCACACTGTACAAATGTTTCGAAAATACTAAATTTGCCTGGTTACCCTAAAATGTATTTATGTAACACCTCGAAATATTGGTTTCCCACATAGGATCTTCCTATCTCGCCTAGCTGAGGCAATATAACTTTGTACCTCCGTCCGTCTGTCCGTCTGTATATGTTAATTTGTAATCAAGCTACAGGTAGCAGTTATGACCGATCCTCACGAAATTGAAAATGGAGATGGGGTTAGGGTCAGAATAGAACCCAATTGTTTGTGGAGATGATTGCACAATATTTAGGGGCTAAAATGGACAAAAAAAAAACAGAAAAAATTCCTGATTTTGCAGTTGCTCTATAAGTCACAATTATTAATCAATCGACGCGGAAATTTACATGGAGTTGTTTAGCGGGTAAAATAGACCCTAACTTTAATGCAAGGAAATAAGAAAATTTCCTCTAAACCGCGAATATTTTTAATCCTAGCAAAATCACAAATGCATTAAAAGGTCACTTCTGACCATTAAAGTGATGATAACCAAGAAATCGGATATATAGCAACATAGGTACAATATATATGTAAAAGAAAAGATCTTATTTATTCTGCTTATAAGTGAAGAACCGCTGGACCGATTTTCACAATTCCCATCAATTCGGAATGGTCTCTTGCCAGAAAATATAGCAATAAAAAGTGAATATCTTCTGTTTCTTTTTTTTCAATTCTTGTCATATTTTTTATCGCATGCGATTTTTTCAATTTGACTTACAATTTTGAATTGTAATTTTTTTAAATTTTCACACCCTGCAACACTACGTTTTGAGGGTGTTATATGCATGTTGCAATTATCGTCCGATCCTCACGAAATTTTGCATGGGGGTAGGGTTAGGGTCAGAATTAAAGCCTATTGTTCTAAAGATTTACATTTAGGCTTTTAAATGAACTAAAAAATTTAAATTTTCCTAATTTTATAGTCGCTCTATAGACAACAATTGAAAACTAATCGACACGGAATTTCGCATCGGAAGAGATTTAGGGACAGGGACATTATTTTCGACATTATTTCAAAAACGAAATCTTTCAAAATGGATTTGGACACAATGGGACTTCGAAGAAATTGTAGTGTCGGCCCCGTACGATTATAGCCTTTGATTACTTGTGTTTTTTTTTTTTTTTTTGTCTCACTTTCGTTTTATATTTAGTAAAATACAATATTTTGCTCAAAATCAACTGACAGTTTGCAAACATTTACAGGGATGCTCTCTATTTACTCTTTACAGTTTTCTACCTTAGAAAATGTTGAAATGCTGGACAATTCCTGTAGGAAAATAACAATATTACATGCCTGATTATATTATTCACGTTTATTTTACATTTTCTCCATTTTTAAAGTTAACTAAAAACCGGAAATAATAATAAAGTTCTTAGATTTTCTTTCAAACATATGGTTGAGGCTAAGAATAATTAGATTTTTTAGATAAAATAAGTATAAACACAGCAGTTGTGGCTCTGCAATAGCCTTTAATTGTACCATGATTTTCAGTAGAAATGTAGCATGCGACGCATTCGTTAAACACCAGCATCAAAGCTGATTCCGACAATAATCTGAAAGACCATCATTAGCAATAAATGTCTTGCTCTCTGACTGCGCTTTGTTTTACTGACAAATCACAGATAATTTTGAAATTTATTATTGGCGTTCGATTTTTTTGCCTTTGGCGTTATCTTCTTCATTCAAACATTCTTTTTATGTCCCTCTTGCTTTTTGATAATTTTGCAAAAGCATTGGAGTTTTAAATGACTGGCGCATCCCCAACCAATGAATGACGAACGTAATTCAAATCAACCTCTAAACTATTTGCGAGGAAACGAGTTTTCAAACACCCCTTGACTTTCACAACGTAATACGAAGTCAAAAGTCAAATTCATAATTATTAATTGAAACGAGTGGTGAAAGTATTTAAGAAGCTATTCCGTGGATGAATGGATGGTGCTCTAGATTTGTATGACATTGAAATGAAGATCTACATTTCTTATCAGGAATTTATAATTTGAACGCATATAAGCTATAGAAGATGGGCGTGATCACCAATACACGCACATACCTTGTCACAGAAAAAATGTTAGCTTAAAAATAGAAAAAATCTCGAGTGTTAGGTGATGGCGAAAAGTTTTTCCATTGAGTGTGTGTGTGTGGGTAAAATATAAAAATGTAGTGATACCAGCTATAACGGACAAAACTAACTTAGTCATGTATTTGCCAATGTAGTATTGCAAATTGACATTTCAATATAGACCCTAATTTTTAATTGTATTTTTAAACAGAATTTTCAAAATTGGCAGTTTTTGTTCTCTATATGTAGAAACATCTTTGGAAGGAGCTGTCCATATTGATACAAGTTTAGGTATAGTCCCGATATAATTCTAACCCCGATTTTATAGTTTATAGTATGTGTTATCTATTTGGAGTTCGTTATGAAAACACTTCCAATGACAGAAAATCTCATACCCAGATTCACGTTTTTTTATGATTTTAACTCCATTTTCACCAGATCTATTTCAAATTTGGAATTTGTCGCAATTGGTACTACTTCCTATGACAAAAAAAAAATGCCTGTGCAGATCCACATATTAGTGTATAATAGCTAGCGATCCTCCCTATATTCGGTATTTTTATGTTGCTAGCTACATTTTTCATCAGAATTGTCCTCACAATTTTTCTCGGTAATTTTCAAAACTTTAGCGGACTGTTTTTATTTTGCAAGTTCCTTTCAAATGGTGGAAGGTATTAAAGGTTCGGCCCAGCGGAATTTGGCTGCTTTTTAACTAATTTATTCATAGGATTTTCAATATATGCTTATCAGAGTTAAGAAGTCAACCTCGTGCAATTATATGTTTCCAGCTTAAAATTTTAGATTGGTTTCAACTTTTCGTGTTAGGCATTTTAGTACTTAAAAACGCACAATTTGGCCATTTTTTAATCAAAACTTCATGTATCGCACTAAATTTTCAGACAGTCAAGTTTTTCTCTTTTCAGAAAGCCTAGTGGAAAAGTCTTAAAAATAATTCATTTTGAAGTTTACCGAGGAGGATAGTAGTAAAATCAATGTACAATGGACCCACATCCAAATTTTCTGTCCAAAACCATTTCAAAGTCTCCATAGGTAAACCCTAGAAACCAGCAGAGACTTCAATATCAA